AGGCCCCTCTGAGTTGTGTCCGCTGGCCTGCCCACCCCTGGCTCAGACACGGTCCCAGAGCCTGGCCTAGCATGCCCAGGCCCACGGGCTTTGCCCCGCCCACTCCCACCGGCCCTGGTGAAGGGCCAGCCGAGCTCGCCTGCAGCCTGGCAGCCGACTCAACGTGGCTCAGGGCCCTGGGCTCAGGATGGGGATGGGACGGACCCCTGGCCCCAGGGCTGCCCCTCTCCGTGCTCTGGACAGAGGCCTGGCATCCTCAGCAGTACCAGGGCTGCAGCTTGGCCATGGCTGTCACTGGGACCAGCGCTGCCACCCCATCTTGAGGGCCCTCTCCTAGCTTGTGGGTTGAGCTGGGCATGTCCCGAGTAACAGACACCTTGGGATGTCTGTCCGGAGAGTTCCCTGCCTCAGGGGAGCTTACCCCCAAGTACTGCTTGCACCCCGGGAGCTCTATGTCACGCAAGACGTCCCCTGGTGCATTGCACCCCCACAGACAGGCAGGCTGCAGCCACGTGGACAGAGCCTGGCCACAAGTCAGTCTTCACTCCCCAGTGCCCAGCCAGAATCCCTCCACCCCCACCCCAGAGCCTCGGAGGCCCTAACCTGGCTCCAGTGGCAGCTGTGGGAGCATGGGAGAGAGGGAACCTCCCCTCTCTGGGAACACATGCCTGGCTGGGGAAGGCCACAGCAGCTGGGCTTGGCTCGGGAATCGATGCCCGTGCTCCCTGCATCACTGCACAAACCCAACTCGGCCACCCTTGGATGGTGGGAGGGCGCCTGCTACAGCCTGTGGTACCACGTGCTATCTCCCCTACACACGCAGGCTCCACCTCCCCCGGAGACCACCAGGATAGGGAAACTGAGGGCCACACCCCAGCCCTGGCCCAGGGCCCACTGGTTGCCCACAGCCTTCCTGAGGCTGGGCCCAGGTCCGGGATGCGGGCACAGGAAGGGCCTGGGTGGGGAGCCCCAGCCGCCGCCTGGCTGCCGTCCTCCGCAGGCAGGCAGGTTGCCTGCGCATCCGTGATTGATGTCTGCCTGCAGCAGCTGCAGCAGCATAAGCAAAACAGCCCAGCCTGGACCCTGCCCCGCCCCAGCGCAGCCGCAGCCCCGTGCCCAGTGGGAGGGAGCATCTGAGACCTCCTCAGCAGCCGCCTGCCCCCACCACGGGCCCTCAGTCCTCTGCACAGAGAGCAGGGGAGGGCTCCAGGCTGCTGGTCCGGCACCTGAGAACTGCTGTGAGCAGGTGGGGACACTTATCCACCCAGCACCCCTCTTGGCTGACCACACCAGATGGCCCCTGACCTCTAAGTGCCTCACTCTCCCCCAAAGCTGAGTGCCTGTTTCAGGCCTGGGCGTTGTCCACAGGCCCCTCCTCCACACACACGCAGCTGGGTCCGCAGTGGGCTCCGGAAAGGGGCCGGTGGGGCGTGTCAGGGAGCTGAGCTCACTCGTCCAATCCCAGGGTTGGTTTCTTTCAATCCACGGTGCCCACCCTCTGCCGGAGGACTCAGCAGTGGGCCAGGGGGTAGGGGGCAGAAGTGGGGACACGCAGTCTCCCCGACTCGCCCGAGGGACTCGGGCCTGAGGATCCAGAGGAGCAGGATGTCTGGGTGCTTCTGGGATGAGGGACCTTTCCCCAACCAGTCTTTGCTCCTCAGGTGATGCTGGGAGACGCCAAGATGGCCGTGGGGCTCTGGGTGGGGCGGCACCTGCCCAGGACTGAGGCTGGCCCCTTCCTCCGGAGGCTGGGAGAGGGGAAGCTGCCCCCCCTGTTCAGCAAGGGGGTTCACGGGCGGCTGGAGTGGAGAGAAAAATGCAGGTTGCCCACCATGTGACAGACCGGAAGCAGCCTTCGGAGATGGCCCTGCTGCCTTGGAGCAGCTCCGTCTGTCCTGCAGGCCCTTTGCCAACTGTAATACCAAAATCCCTGCCTAGTGGGACACTGGAACATCATTAGCATAATACGAGTTGCATGAAGATACCATGTCAAAACCTTGCGCCACTAATAGGGAAGGGATTTAAGGCAACCTCCCAGGTGGGCAGATGCGGATTTTGCTAGAAGATCCTGAGGAGGAAATTCCTGTGCCACCCGGAGCAAGCGCCCCAGTAAGTAACCCTGATAAACTCATCGACCTCCTCAGCTGACCTGTCGGAGTCATCCTCTGCTCTCTGGTTCCCTCTCAGTTTGGGGGATAGTTTTTCTATATTGTCCCAGGATTTTCCTGAAATAGGAAGGTAGCCAGAGAGGAGCATGGGAGGGCCACCTGGGCTCCTGATCCTGACCACCCTGCACCTGCTCCTGCATGGCCCCTCGGGGAGTCATGGCCTGTCTCTCACACCCCGACTTTAATGGGGTTCCACCCCCTTGGGCCCGGTCTCCCCCAACAGCTGGAGCCATTAAACTTCAGCAGCAGCCTGCTCTACCTGCCACCCCGGAGCCGCCCCAGTGGCTGTGCCGTGAACAGGACAGTTGCCGAGACACTGCCCAAGGAGCAGGGGCCGCCCACCCACTACCTGGGCTGTCCCCAGCCTCCTGCAGCCAGGGCTGGGCACCCAACATCAGGGCAGCTCTGCCTCCTCCTCTGCATTTCAGCTCCCCAAGCAGCACCTCATAGTGAGGCAGCCAGGGCTCACTCCGGTGCATTAGTTTCCTGTTGCTGCTATAACAAAATACAAATGTAGTAGCTAAAATAACATACAGGCTGGGCACGGTGGCTCACGCCTGTAATCCTAGCACTCCGGGAGGCTGCGATGGGAGGATCGCTTGAGGTTGGAGTTCAAAACCAGCCTGAGCAAGAGCGAGACCCCAATCTCTAGCAAAAATAGAAAAATTTAGCTGGGCATGGTGGCGAATGCCTGCAGTCCCAGCTACTCAGGAGGTTGAGGCAGGAGGATCCCTTGAGCCCAGGAGTTTGAGGCTGCTGTGAGCTATGATGATGCCACGGCACTCTAGCCCAGACAACAGGGTTAGACTCTGTCTCAAAACAAAACAAAACAAAACAAAAAACATATAGTGCATTTATTCTCTTCCAGTTCTGGGTACTGGCAGTGTGGTGTTCTTTCCGGAGGCTTCATGGGAGACCCATTTCCTGTCTTCCCCAGTTTCTAGAGGCTGCCTGCAGTGACCTGCAGCACTCCGACCGCTGCTTCCACCCTCCAGCTCTCTTTAAACTGCTGTCTCCTTCCTATAAGGACCCTGTGACTACACTGGGCTCAACCACAGAAGCTAGGACCATCTCTGCATCTCAAAATCCTTAATTTAATCATCCCTGTAAAGTCCCTCTTACCTGAGAAGGTCGCAGGCATAGTCACAGGTTCTGGGGATTAGGACAGACATCTTTGGGGAGCAGTACTCAGCTATGAGCCCAACCTTGGGCCTGTGGGCTGAGGACTGAAGCCTGAGGAGGCTGCATTGTTCCTGGGTCACTCCACCCTCCAGCCACCCTGGGGCCACAATGCTCTCTACCTGGAAGCCGAGGCCCAGAAGGGTGTGGGGGCTGGGGGTCAGGAGAGCTACTGCAGTCCCAGCTCTGCTGCTCACACAGGCCTTTGGGCCTGGCCTCAGTCTCCCCACCTACACACAAGGACATCACTCCCATTACCCCATTTCCAGCTCCCTGGACCTCAAAGATACTGAGGACAGTAAATGAAGGACGCAGGCACTGGAATGGACGCGGCCCGCTGGGGCCTGCAAGCAAGCTGAGGCAGTGTCTGCAGGCCCAGACGCTGTCTGATCACCACCCTCAGGGGCACTGCGGGTGCTGGTGGTGGCAGAGCCAAGGCCCAGTCCTGGGCAGTCTGACCGCAGAGCTGCATTGTTGGCTGTTCTGCCCCTCAGAAAGGGGAGGCAGGAGGACATGGTCTAGGGTGCAGACAATGATCTCATCTTGTCATTTTTGAAATTAAAATTTTCTGTAGCTTGGCTGAGAAGGACCAGCGAGGGAGTGCGTGATTCATACAAGAAGGACAGGGACCAGACAGGGGCCAGGGAGGTCGTGGGGTGGGAGAGAAGGGAGCCTGGAGGTAGACTGGGTGGTGGGGGTGCGTGGATTATGGCTCCCACAGCAGGATGGCCGTGCGGGCCAGTGTGGAAAGGCCTGGGCGGGGATGAGTTAAGGTCACTCAGGTTGACTTCAAGAGACTGGGGGTGGGGCAGATGGGAAAGGCCTGGAAGCCCTGGGGGAGACAGCAGGAGGAAAGGGCCCTGCCCTGGGACTGGCCCAGGGGCAAGGCAGCTCATCAGCCCCTGCCCTGAGCGGGTATTGGCAGGAGCAGCGCTGCCCCGGGGCTGGCCAGTGACCCGGCGGGCAGGACACGGCTCGAGGGGAGGGCGGCACCGCTCCTCCCGCTCGGCAGGCAGCGGACCCCCTTCCCGGAGAAGCGGGATCAGGGGCCCCACCGTGCAGGCAGCCCCTCGGCGGCGGGCCGGGACGCGGCAGGGGTGGCCGCTCTCACGCTGAGGGCCCGCGCGGCTCCACGTGCCGGTGCATGGGGAGCGCGCGGAGACTTGGCTCCCCGCAACTGAACGGCAGCCACGCTGGGGCCGTCACGGAGGCGCGGAGCCCGACGGCCGCTCGCCCAGGGCCCGCAGCAGCGGGCGCGGCTCGGGGATTCCCGCAGGGGCGGGGTCGGCTCTGGCCACGCCCCGCGGCGGCGTGCTGACGTCACGCGGCGGACGCCGGACGGGCGCGCGCCGTTGCCGGGCAACGCGCCGGCGCTGGGCCGAGGGGACGCGGGCTGGCAGCTGCGCCCGGCCGGGCCGGTGGAGGCAGAGGCGCCGCGGCGGCGGTGGGTGCGGGGCCCCTGCGGCCGCGCGCGCAGCTGCCTTCTCGGACCCCGTGCAGGCGGAGGCCCGCGGCGCCGGGCGCCCTCCCTCGGGTCCCTCGGACCGCGGCCGGCGGGACCTCGCAGCCCGCGCGGGAGGAAGCCCGGCCCGGCAGCGCCCTGCGTGCGGTCGTGCGGGCCCCGCGGCGGGGAGGGCCGGCGGCCGGGCAGCGCGGCTCGGCGGGCGCATGTGTCCCGAGCCGCTTCCCGGCCGGTCTGCGCGCCCCGGCGGCTCCGAGATGCAGGGCCCGCTGGAGTCGGGCGCACAGTCGTGGGGCGGCCGCGCAGGGCCAGCGGGCGACGGTGCCCTCCGAGAGGCTCCGGGGAGGCGGAGTGGTGACGACGTGGGGTGGGCGAGGACCCGCGCCAGCCTCCTCCTGCGCAGCGGGAAAGCCAGCACCCCCAGGCCCGGCGAGGGCTCCACCTGCACCCCCGGCCTTCGGGACCCCGCGGAACACAGCACCTGGGGGGAGTTCGAAGGCTTCCGGGAGTCTTCTGCAGAGGCCGGGCAGTTCCCTCAGTCCTTTCAGCTCCCGCAGAGACCCGCAGATCCTCAGCCACCGAGAACCGCTTCCACCCCAGAGGAGTGTGGTTCCCCCACGCTGTGCCAGGGTGGACCTTGGGTGACAGGAGCCGCTGTCGCCCCACCTTCCGAGGTATTTCTAAAGTGCTGGTGTCGTCACCCTGTCAGTGGGAAGTGCTCTGCACTCTGAAAGCTTTGGTGCGCCGGCCAGAGAGGGGCCACCAGCCTTGGAGGGTCTTATCTCCTGGCCTTCCTCCCTGGCCGTGTGGTTACTGCCCTGTCCCCCCGAGGCCAGGCAAGGAGTTGGCAGAGGAGGCTGCAGAAGTGGGTCCCAGGAAGGCCAGATGGGAGCCACCGGAGCCTGATGCTTGCTGGGACCCTCCTCCCCGGGCTGTCCGCTCCTCAGTGGTGGGCTGTGCTTTGCTGGCCCCAGTTCAGGGCCTGTGGGGAAGGAGCTTTTTGTCTGAATTCTGATCTACAGTTAGAAAGTCTCACAGATTCTACAGTCACACCACATGTCAGCTTGTGAGAAATGAGTGGGTGCTGCCCCGGCCCCTGGCCCTTTCTGAGCTGACTACCCAGTGTTGACACTTTGGTGACAGCCTCCGAGCCTTCCTTTCTCGTCTTCTTCTTGTTGCTCCTGTTGTCTGCCATCTCTTCCCAGATGGCTCACCCCAAACACCGTAAGAATGAAAGACAAAAGCTGAAGCACTTAAGGAGGGAGATAACGGTGTTGACGGCTCTCAGCTGGGCCGTCTGTTTCCTGAGCCAGCTTCCCTGGACCCGACAGTCAGCTCTGCTGTGACGCTTGTTCTGAAAACATGATTGATTTATTAGGGAACAGTTTGAACTTCGGATCCCCCAAGAAGCTAGGTGGATGCATAAAACTGCATCCAGGAGGGAGACGTGTCAGAATACCTGAAATGTGCACGGGCAGCCCTCAGACACCTGCCAGCACCTGTTCCCTGCACCCATCCACACCTGGTGCCGGGACCACACCCAGTGGAACGGCCCTCTTCCCACCACCCCACACAACTCAGCCACGAAGCTCCCCACTTTTCCAAGCACAAGTGCTGCGTTTATTGTTGTATGCAAGGAGTTCATGACCAATTAACACGGAAACGGTGCTGACGTGGTGAGGAGGCGTCTTTTCTCATGCCACACTGATGAAGTTTGAATGTTGTGCCCCATTTTCCCATGAGCCCTGTGTGTGTGTGTGGTTCTGCATCACATGGTGATTTTTACCAATGAATATGGCAAGTGGTGGTAGCACTAATGGTATAATCACAAATTTCATTTGTACCCAAATTATTTATTTGGAATAAGGTAACATAATGTGTGTACTTCTCCTAAATTCGACATGTTTTTTGTTTGTTTGTTTGTTTGTTTGTTTTCAGCCCCTTCTCAGCTATGAGGACATTTTTAAGATTGCTTTTCAAGAAGTATCAGTTCCACAGGCAACTGAAGATGTTTCCACCTTACACCATTTTCTAGAAATAAGCAGTGAAGAAAAGCCTGGCCTTGAATCTGTACATAAATTTTGGTAATGAACTTAGATTGGAACTGTTTGTTATAGCAACTCAGCATTTGTACTTCTGTTTGATAAAAGCAAGTGTGGTTTTGCTTTTACCTCTATCTAGAGCATCCTGTCTCCTGCAGCCCCTGCCATCTGGGGGTCGTAGGGGCCTCATGAGGAGCGGGCAGCATGGGTGAGGCTCTTGCTGTGGCCCCTCCTCTCTGCACCCATGTTCAGTCACAAACCCCTCTACCAGCTCCTTGGGTCCCTGGAGCAAGTGGACCCACGCAGCAGCACCTCTGTCTCTGTGAGTGCTGGGGCAGTGGGCAGAGGAGCCTCCTAGGGGACTTGGCTGAGTGGTCACTGCAGCCTCGTGGTCCTCAGCAGCAGTTATAGAAACACCCCGGGAGCCGTGGAGGCCAACCAGTGCTCTGGAGCTCCTGCTCCAGCCTGGTCAGCCCCAGGGCTGGTGTGAGGGGACTCGCAGAAGCAGCTGTTTGCAGATGGCCACTTTCTAAGGACACACTGTCAACTGAACTGTGAAAGGGAAACAGTGCTAGAGTGGACTGTGCAGAAGTGGTTGAGAAGCTCAAGACACGTTGGCCCAAAGCCCAGCGGGAGGTGAAGGCTGGAGTGAGCTGGCTTTCCGTCCCTGGCGTGGCTGTGGAGCCCGTCTCCCAGCAGCAAGGGGGAAAGCCTGGTAGGCGTGCAGTGGCAGCCTACACCTCTGAGCTATGGCCCTTCAAGGCCTCTGCTGGGGTCCAATGTGGTCTAACCCAGCGTCTGCCCCAGGGCACTCTCCGCAGGGGCCTGGAAACTGAAGCCCAGAAGGCTGCAGCCAGCGCTGCCCAAATGGCCAGTGTGCCCTCTGCTCATGGTGCTTCTGCAAGGCACGATTCCTGGGGAGAAACTGCCAGCAGTGCAGCCCTGTGAGCTGGAGGGGTGGGGGGTTGATGTGCTGACTTCCCTATCTCAGCAGCACCAGGCTGGGGGCCCAGAGGCTTGGGGCATCCTGGATGTCGAGACCAGGCAGGCTGGACACTCAAACTGAAGGCTGGGTGTTACTCTGGGGGAGTAGGACACTTAGTGTGTTCAGACACTAGGGTGTTTTGGAAATGACTTGACATTTTGCATGTCCTGTCTCCTACACCCATTTTCCCTCCCCTGCCAAAGGGAGCTTCCCACAGGCAGACCCCTCTGCCGTCCCCCACGGTACAGTCAACACGGCGCGTGGCAGACGCCCACCGTGTGTGTCGCTCATTCTTCCAAGTGTTCACTGCACTTGTGGCTTGTGAGCATCTGTTCTGTGCCCAGCATAGTTCTAGGCACTTGAGTGGCAAAACTAGCAAAACATCTGGCCTCGTGGAGCTTGCGCTCCTTGGAGGGGACAGCGGCTGCCAGGAGACGGGCTCTGTGGGGAGGCGCAGCGGGGGGGGGGCAGCCTCGTCTGAGTAGATGTAGAAGTGAGCAACGAGCCAGACGTGCCGTGCTCCTGGAGGGCGAGGTCTGTAGAGTCCTCGTGGCCAGCGCCTCTGGCTGTGAGTCTCTGCGTGGATGGCGAGGCCGGGCCCTCTGCGTGCCTGGGGCAGGCTCCAGGGATCTGTTCGGAAGGCTTGTTCAGCCACATTTCAGTGACTGCGTGTTTTCCAGTTCTGAATCTAGAGCCCTGTGGAGAGCCCTTCAGAACACAAATGCCACGTCCGTGTCACGGTGCCTCTGGAACGGATCCCACTGCCAGGAAAACTACTTTCTCGTTCTCGGAATAGACGCTGCTCGGAAGGTGAGGTGGTCTGGGTTGAGACGGGGTCCTGGGACTGTGGCTGGACTTGACGGTGGCTGGCCACCCTGTGGCCACAGCACACTTGGAGGCCATCTGCCTGGGACAGGGATGGGCAGTGGAGAAAACACCTTGGTCTGCAGCAAGGCATGCCTGCCACCAGGACCTCGAGGTCCGAAGCCACTGACCTCTCAGAAGGGTGACTCTGGCAGAGTGGGGGTGGGGACCAGTGAGGCAGTGGCAGAGTGGTGAGGGGAGTGGGGCATTCTTCGGACTTGGGCACCATGCCATGCTTAGACACCTGCCCCTGCAAGGCTCCTGCAGGAACTGGGGACGGACGTGGAGACTCGATCTGCACGTGGGTTTGGGGCAGTGAGCGAAGGTGCTGTGGCAGAACCCCGTTCAGCACGCAGCCTCCTGCGTGGCAGGCGACTCCTGGGGAGCTCCCTTGGGAGGAGCTGTGGGAAGGTGGGGGAGTTGGCGGGGTGGGGGATGGGCAGGAGCCTTCCCTACTCGGGGGCTGCCAGGGCGCATCTGCACCCAGGTGCTGAGGGAGGCGGGGTGTGAGCACCTGCGCTGGACACGCAGGAGGTGAGGGGAGGGGGCGAGCTCCATCATGGACAGGCGGCATAGGAGAAATCATCAGTATTCGGGAGCAAACACCTCTCGGTGGGGTGGCTGTGCTTGGCATGCAGCCGAGAGGCAGGTGTAGATGTGGGGTCACCTGGGCATGGGTGGGGTCATAGCCACGAGCTGGCCCCACACACGTGTCCAGGCTCCAGGATGAAGCCCAATATATTGCCAAGGTGGGGAAGCTCAGGGAGGGGTGAGCCAGAGGCCGCAGTGAGGCACGTCACGGGCACACGTTCAAGCTCCTGAGTTACTGAGGATGGTGCAGAAGATGCAGATTATAGTGAGGGCCACCTTTGGCAATCCAGATGGATTTTTAAATAATGTGGAAATTTTCAAACCTGGGAAACTCAAAGGGCCAGCCAAGCAGGCAGACTGGCCCTGGCAAAGACGGGCTTGAGAACAGTTGCCACGGTCGGTTGCCCATGGGCCACACTGGGCTGGCAGGGAAGGAAGAGAGGAAGGAGGTTGCCCCGGCTGCATCACGCTCAAGGAACAGAAAACCAGGAGGCTGGGAAATGTGGGGGCAGCGCCCTCAGCAGGAGGCTTGGGGGTGGGACAGCTCCAGGCGGCAGGGCAGGGTGAGGGGGTACATTGTCCTGAGCTGGCCCTGAGGATGCCCCACAGCCCTGGCAGGGCGGCCTGACCCCCAGAGGGGCCAAGACAACTGCAGTTTTGGGATGAGATTTAGTAGAGGGCTCAGGTAAAAGGAAACGGGGAAATGACAGCTGTGCTAACTGGCCGACAGGGTCTCTCTCCTCAGAGCCTTTCTGCAGGCCAGGGCCACGTCGCAGAGGGCTCCGACCTCAAAGAGCCTGAAGGACTCCTTGCTGTCAGCAGCTTCCGTCTCCACCACTGCAAAGCCCTGATCCAGACCAAGGTGAGTGGTGTCCAGGAGAGGCCGCGGGCGGCTGGGCTGGCTGGTGTCTGCACTCGAGTAGCCCCTTCTCACGTCTGTACTTCAGCCACTTACTTTTCTTCCTTTAATTCTTTGCACCTATGAAAAACGAACGTGTCTATCTAGGGCAGACAGGCAAAGCGTTAACACCACTGCAGGTGCCAAGGAATATACATGTGCCACCACAAAGACCAGTAGGACACAGGCCCGGGAGACGAGCAGGTCTCGTGGGAGGACTGGCAGGAGGCCGAGGCAGGTGGAGAGGAGAGCTGCAGGGAAGGCGCGATGCTGGGCGTGGGTGGCCAGGCTGTGACTACTGGGCAGGCATGCGCGCTCCCTGTGGGCCGCTGTAGGAAGCAGGTCAGACTGGCAGCCACAGCCCCCGTCCACTCAGCCCAGCAGGCTGGCGGGGGCACCTGCAGGGTCTGGTCTAAAGTTCCCACTGCAGTCACTTTGTCACATCATCAGAGCAGGGCTTGAGGGCAGGAATGGGTCATCTTCCTGCAGCCCTCTCTTTATTAAGGAAGGAAAAGCCTTTCCGGGCTGGGCTCTTGTGCCCGCTCTTTGGCCAGGTATTGCAAGAGGGGCGAGGTGGCCAGGCCAGCTCACCTAGCTTCATGCTCAGCCCAGGACCCAGAGCACTTGGGGCTCACCACTTACGCCCAGTGGACGGGGAGCAGTGTGGGTGCTCGTCAGCACGGAGAGGGATGTGCAGGGAGGGGCAGTGTAAGGTGCTGCCCATGGCCCAGCGGGTGGTGACAAGGACCCGAGCTGGAGTAGAGCCAGCAGGAAGGTCACGTGGTACAGGAGGTGGCCAGTGCCAGCTTCTGGGCCAGAGCGCAAGTGTGGCACTGGCCAGCCAAGGTGGGGCAGGCGCCCTTGACGGTCAGCCCACAGGTGACAGGTGCCGAGGCACACATGAGAGGGCCCTTCTCGCGCTGGGCCATCCGTCTGCTCTTTGGAAAGTACCCTGGGACAGGAGGGTTGTGTCACAGCAACAAGCCATAAGGACAAGTTCATGGCTGTCAGTGACGACAGCCAAGCCCGGGGAAACGTCCAGCAGCCGTGTGGGGGAAACCGTGGTGCGGGGCAGCAGTGGACGCTGCGGGCCATGGGCCTGGGAGGTGGTGGTGGCCTCCACAGCAGTGCCAGTCACAGAGCATGAGGGCCAGAGACCCTGTGTGAGAAGCGGGCCCACCGCTGTCTCGGGGGCTGCAGAGTCGGAGGAGCATCAGGAAGCTGTGCGGGCTCAGGAAGTCGGCGGGGGCAGGGGCACCGTGTGGGAGGGTCTTAGGATGACAAAGGACAGAGCGCTGAGGGGCCTAGAGGCGGGCTGGCTGGGGGGTGATGGGCCGGGGCAGACGCCCACGCTGGCCTTTCTAGTGGCCTCTCTGGTGCCACGTGTGCGCGTGCCTGACCGCTGTCCTCCTGCCTCAGCTCTCAGGGCCGCCCGGCAGCAGACAGGGGGGCCTCATCACATACAGCCTCTTCCTGAAGACCCCCTTGTGTGGACACAGGCAGTACATCACCATTCCAAGGAAAAAGAAGATTTTCACTCCACGAAACCTAAAAATGACATTCTTTAATAGTGATGTTTGCTAAAAACCGGAGTTCTTTGTAACTATGAAGAATTACATTTTCTTACTAATTTGGTTTGGTCCTGGAAACCAGAACTATCACGCAGCTGCTTCCCAAGTCCCAAGTCTGCATCCTGGGCTCTCTCTGGGCGGGGAGCCATCCTGTGCCTGAAGCTCGCCTCAGGCCTGGTCAGGACACCCACAGGCCCCCGCCTGGTGCAGGTGCCGCCGGGCCTGGTGGGGGCACCTGGGGATGGACACCTCAGTCAGACTGTGAGCGCAGAGGAGGATGTTGAAGTGTCATTGTGGAGAGGCTGCAGTGCCCGGAAGGCCTCTGTCTCACACTCTGCCCCTGCCTCGCAGCCCCGAGGACAGGCCTCTCTCCCGCGTGGACGGGGCCGCACAGCACGACGGGCCGCAGGTTTTTCCTGGCTCTCTGCCCAGGAAACTGTTCTCTTCCAAGGGCAGAGCCAAGCAGTCAGCACTGACTTTTGTAAAATTTTACTAAATAAAATGGCCTGGATGTGCTTGTTCTTGGTGAGGCTCTGTAGAGGCTGATGCCTCAAATCCTGTCCCCCAGGGGCGGCCTGAGGGGGCTTGCAGAGAGTGACCACCTGGCAAGGGCCGGGGTGCTCCAGGTGGGACACCCCACTGTCTCTGTTCTAGCCAAGGCCACTCGGAAGATGCCAGGGTTCCCGTCAACTCGGTTGTCAGTGGGGACTCGTGCAGCGACCGGCAGGTGTGCCTGTCGTGAGGGGGAGGCTCTCGTCCCTGCACAAGCCTGTCTGGCCCTGGCCACCTAGCTGCGCCGGCTTTGAGGTATGATGAAGGGGTAACTCGGATTTCGTCTTTGGTGCCAGAAGCTTGAGAAAGCTGCTTTAGTTGTTCATTTCTGACCTGAAGAGGGTGTGAATTTGGAGACTTTTTTTAACATGTTGCTTCCTTCAAAGGCACTGTCTTTTGGGGGCCCTGCCAGCAGGGGCCCTCTGGTCATGCCCTAGATTCCTAACCTTTGGTTTAAAAGTTAAAGACTTTAACAAGCCAAAATATTCGATGCTGCCTTCTCCCACTCAAGGATTCAGATGCAGGCAGCTGCCTCTCCTCCCGCCACTGGCTGTCTGTCGGGACCCGCAGGCCTTTCTCCTGACCTCACGGCAGGCTCCAACTGCACAGGCTCCCAATCTGAACTGCCCCCACCCCCACCCCTGGCCCCCCACCTCCACTTCTCAGTGTCCTGTCAGTACGTGTGGAGCCACCATGGGTCCCCAGACCGGCACCCCCCAGTCCACTTGCCAGTCTGGCGGTGACTACTCGAGCCAAGCAGGATCTGACAGAGGCCATAACCACTGGTCAAGCTGTAAGAGATGGACCAGAACAAGCCCAGTATGATCCAGAATCATGGTTCAAACAAATCAGAGCAGAGTCTACAAAGAACCCTAAAATGACTAAATAACAAGCCCTTTAGAGAGAAAGGGCCCAGCTGCTTCCCTCCCTGGTGGGGCAGTGGGCATCAGAGGGCCCTCGGGGACAGGGGTCGGAGGGCAGGCCAACCCTCACCTGCCGGGCAGGCTGGCAGGCTGGCGTGGGGAAGGGGAGCCAAGGGATCCATCCCCCCAGGTGCACAGGCCTCCCTCAGCAGGTGGCGGAGAAGGGGAGCTGAGTGGGCGGGAACAGCCCCCAAAGGCAGAGGGAGAGGCACAGGGCAAGGGGTGGCAGTGGAGAGTCGAGTCCAGAGATCTGGGAACACAGCCGGCAGTGACCAAAGCTGCTGGCTTGGCTGTCAAGTACAGACGGCACCCTCAAAACATCTGCAGTCCCAACTAAAGCTGCCGCAAAGCCAGATCCAGCTCCAGGGAGGGAAGAGCCACTCGGTTTCCACTCCGGTACCGAAACAAATATTGTTTGCTTCAGCCTCTACAAAGCATCTAGCCTACAATAAGACATTACAAGACACACGAAAAACCAGGAAGACGTGGGCCTCAGTGAGCAGTGCAGAACCAGAAACGGCCCCGGGGTAAGAGGACAGTCAAGGGCTGTGAGGAGCTGTAACAGAGGCGAGGCCATGGACACACTCAGCAGAAACATGGAAGCTTTCAAAGAGAAAATGAAAATGCTAGTAATGGAAGATATAGTATCATAAATGAATAATTTTTTTTGGAGACAGGGTCTTGCTCTGTTGCCCTGGCTAGAGTGCCGTGGCATCATCGTAGCTCACTGCAACCTCCAACTCCCGGGCTCAAGCATCCTCCTGCCTCAGCTCCCGAGTAGCTGGGACTACAGGCATGCGCCACCACGCCCGGCTGTGAACGAGTCTTTAGATGGCCTTAACAGCAGACTGGACACTGCAGAGGAACAATCAGTGCACTTGAAGACTGGTTAATAGAAAAGATCCAAACAGAACATGTAGAGGAAAAAGTAGGGAGAAAAAGTAACTGTGTCCAAAGGTCTGTGGGCCAACGTCAGATAGCCTAACCCAGGTGTAACTGGAGTCCCAGAAGCAGAAACAGAATAATCAAGAAATACTGGATGTCCCAAAAGTCACCACCATACATAGGGAAATGGGACATCGTTGCTAAATGTAGTCTAATTTGTGGTCTCCATAGAAAGGAAAAATTCTGTAAAATTTTGTAATGAATATTTTGTAAATAAAGGTACATTTAGCTACAATGTCCCATTTTCCCTATGTATAGCGACTTTTGGGACACCCTGTATTTGAGGATTTTATGGCCAAGAACGTTCCAAAACTGATAAAAGATGCTAATCTACAGATCCAAGAATCTCTTTAACCGCAAGCTGGTGAAACATGGAGAAAAACCACACCTAAACACATCCTCCAGGTCTTAAAAGCAGCCAGAGTGGAAACAGAAGATTCACATAGGAAAGCAATGACAGAGCCACGGCTCACGTTTCACCGGAAACAATGGTATCATCCCTCAAATGAGAGGCTGCTGTATCTTCATGTTGTCCAACTTCCTAAAACAAATGTGCATTACTTTTTAACTTTTAAAATCCTAACTCCTGGCTGGGCATGGTGGGTGGATCATGCCTGTAATCCTAGCACTCTGGGAGGCCAAGGCGGGCTGATTGCTCGAGGTCAGGAGTTCGAAACCAGCCTGAGCAAGAGTGAGACCCCGTCTCTACTATAAATAGAAAGAAATTAATTGGCCAATTAATGTATATATAGAAAAAATTAGCCGGGCATGGTGGCGCATGCCTGTAGTCCCAGCTACTCGGGAGGCTGAGGCAGCAGGATTGCTTGAGCCCAGGAGATTGAGGTTGCTGTGAGCTAGGCTGATGCCACGGCATCACTCTAGCCTGGGCAACAATGCAAGACACTGTCTCAAAAAAAAAAAATCCTAACTCCCTTCCAAATTGAAAGGGGCTATGAAGGTGTACACTAAACACGCTGCACACACGTGAGGGGTATCCCCCACACGTCTGTAAGCTCAATAAGCACACTTACAGAACAAGTCAACTAAGGTAAAAGTTAAATGCCACTCACCTTGCAGCAGAGGGGAAGTCAGGGCTTGGCAGATCCCAGGTAACAGTGCAGAAATTTTAGGTGACTGAAATTTATATATACGCTTCTGAATAAACATTTTTTAAACAAAATTATTAAACACTTGGAAAATTTGTTTCCAAAGACCTACATAAAAATACCATATACATATCGATTAAACTTGGAAATGTTTGGGAAAATGACTGTTCACCTGCTGTGCACCAGAGCAGAAACAAGCATCTTCTGATTACAAGTGTGACAGATCAAGCAAGCCAAGAGCCGGGGAACAAGCCACTACCCCTCCCTGCTGGCTCCTGGCCTTCCACAGAAGCCACGCGTGTAAGAGCAGGCTCCTCACCCCACAGCAGCAGGCAGGAGCAGCCGCCTCTGCAGTGGGGTCCTTACGCAGAGTGCAAACGCCTGCACGCTCATCCAAGTCATACTGATAGTTTATACTTTTGTAGGCTGCCAAAATCGACACTGCAGCTACTACTGAAACTGAACAAATGATATTTTAAAAAGAAATGTTTATATGAAACAAAATGCTGCTTTAGGTTTATTGCCATAAAACACATGCCCTTTAAACTAGTTTCTGTGACATTGGCACTGTGAACACAAGGCGCTGTCGGTGCGTGTGGAGACCCACAGGAGAGCCAGGCCTGCCCGCACTGTCACAGCCTTTCTGTAGAGCCCTGGGGTCTCAGGCTGTGGGACCCAGGGGAGAGGCAGGGGCTGGGCAGGCAGGGTAGTTTAGCTGGGAGCCCCTGTGGTCAAGAGGAGGAAAGCGATCCTTCGCCTACTTACTGCACCCCAACGCATTCTTCCCACTCCACACCAGACACAAAGGCTGGACGGGAAGAGGAGGTCCATGGCTGTGACACAGTAGAGAACACATTTCCATTCTGCTTGTTGGATAATTTTTAATAAAGTGAGGCTTACATCACCAATATTAAAGGACGGTCGTATGCACAGAAGAAAACAAACCTTTTTGGCTAAGGGGTAAGGAAATTAGAATAAGCATGGCAAACAGGAAACGTGGGTGGGGGTGGGGAAGCAGCCTGACCCGGGACAAGGGTCTGACAGGTGCAAGCCCCCCCACTTCCTATGGCAGCACTGTCAAAGACCCTTAAAACCAACGGCCATAAATTACACGGATTCAGATTCCTTTCATTCTAAACGTAAAGGCCTCTCCGGTCCAACAGCACACGGACACACACGCTTTCTAAACGCCTGTGTGCCTGGCACGCGGCAGCCTCTGTGCACACCCCGCGAGCAGCAGTCCTCACCTGGCAGGTGCCCGTGCTGGGGGACCTGACGGGGGCCCTCCGTGAACACCACCCGCCAGGGCACCACCAGCAGGGGCAGTCTCAGGAAAGCACCTAGTGCCCACGATTTCCAATCACTGACCTTCACTTTCAATGATGTTTACATATAAATAGGCATAAATAAAACCCTCCATAATTTACGCTAAAGTCTAGAAACACATGGCTCATACGGTAGATCTTCTAATGACAAAAAATGTGTAGTGGTTGTACATGGTACTCGATTTTAATCGAGCTCTAATTGTAGCACAACATAATGAAGAGGGTCACATAAATTTAAAGTAAAAACATGATACATTTACACTGGTGACTCAGAGTGTAGTGAAGCTCATTGCAAAAAAAAAATCCCTTATTTAAACCTTAAAAAAAATGAAATATACCAACTGCAATTGTTTTGCTATAAAAGTTTCTAATGTAGCAGCAGAGGATGTTTATAGAAAAAATATACTTTTAAGAAAATAGCTGAAAAAATCTAAAGAGGTAAAGTATAAAAAGTTTAAAAAATATCTCTTAAGGCAAAATACTGCCCAAAACATATAAAACTTAATTTTTAAAATTCACCTATCTAAATTTAAACGAGGTTGATGCAGCTTGCGGCTCGCCGTCCTCTGAGGTGGCTGCAGCTGGAACACAGAAGGGACGAGGGGCCAGGCTGTGGACATGTCAAGGCTGGCCCGGGCCAGGAAGCCCATGTGGCCCTTTTTGGCTGTGACCAGCTGGGGCGGCGGCCCCGCTGACCCACCAGCTGCAGAGAACACTCTTCTCGGGGTCGAGTGCTCGGTATGTTCAGGTGGCAAAGACCAGCGAGCACCCGGGGCACCTGTGGCCCAGCCTCAGGTCTCCACCAGGATCTCCACCACGTGGTCCAGCTCGCCCAGGTCCGACTTGCAGCTGGGGCCGGGGGGAGAGGTGGCCACCGGGGCCAAGCCCTGGAGCCCGTCACAGGGGCCCGGCTCGGCCCTGCTCACCACGCCTGTGAACACCGTGTCTAGGTCATAGTAGGAACTGTCCATGTCTGAGAACAGCTCTTCCGTGGAGCTGGGATTCCTGGTCTCCAGCGTTTCAAAGATCTGATCTAGTGACTTCTGGAAGTTTCCTCTGTTTTCTCGAGGGTTGTCCATTTCCCAGACGCTGTTCTGTGGGTTCCTTGGCATCTGTGCCGAGGTGACTGTGGAAAGTTCAGAAACAGGGCCCAGCACGTGGTCGTCTCCCATGCCAGGGGCAGGGCACACCCCGTCCTGCTCCCGTGTTGAGCGGCACAGGATCTCCGTGGAGACCAGGCGGTCGAGGGGAGCCCGCCCTGTGCTCTGGGGCACTGCCACTCGCCACGTCCCGTCCTGGCTCATCTCCTCCTGAATCTGCCGGACCGTGTTGGCTATGAGGACTGAGCGGCAGAGGTTGGGCTCCACCAGCATGTGGCAGAGCTGGAGCTTCACCAGGGACATGTCCAGGAGCGACTGCCGCTGCAGGCTGTAGGAGGGGACAGCCTTGAAGCCCGCCAGGGCTCCCCCCATGTCTTCCTCGTGGTCGGCACACTTCCTCTTCAATCCTCGTGCAAACATGGTGTCCTGCCAAGACCAAGAAGATGCCGTTTAGCACAGGGCAGACTGGCAGACAGTGCCCCACGGTTCAATCTCTGGCTCCGAGAAAGGAGCAGTGATGCCTGACAGGCAGGGAAGACCTGGGAGGCAGCTCTCCCTCAGAACAGCAGCCCCCGCACGGATGTCTCTGATCCAGACCAATCTCTAAACTGTAAAACAATTTTCTCCAAAAAAGATAAAGGGACTAAAAATAGGAGAAATATATTTTTTAAGAGCTAGGCTGGAAGCCTGTTTCACAAATCTAATCGCAGCACCTCTGCAGAGGGCCCAAGGGCGGGGGTGGGCACCTGCCCTTCTGCTGACTCCCGTGGGACTCTGACCAGGGACGTCACGTCTGCATTCCAGAAGGGCGAGTTCCTTCCCTCTTCAGTGCTCCCACTCACGAGTGTCCACGCGGACTGCAGGCAGCCCTGGGGAGTGGCACCTCCAGGACGCAGGGCGGGCCTGCCTGCTGGCACTCCTCCCCAGTGCGGGCAGCTGGGCTCTGCACCACGTTCTAGGAGGGAGGGACGCAGCGCCCCCCGCAGACGCTGCAGAGCCCACCAACCCAGCCTGCCTTAGGGCTCACATGGATTCCCTGGACCCCACTGGGTTCAGAGCCTCTGCCAGGTTGCTTTCTCCCAACACTCCTCAGACCTGATCCTGTCCCCAAGCTCCCTTAGGCACAAGCTTGTACAACCTTGAGGCCACCTCTTTCTCTCTTTTCAAGCTACCAAAACACTTCCGGGCATGTGTGCGGCAGTGTGCAGCCAGCAGAGACATCTCTCAGCGTGTGACTCAGAGCACTGGTGCTGCACGTTGCAAATGCAAATTCCTGGATCTTGCCCCAGACCCAGGCAGCCCTGCTGTGGCACTTGAGACTCAGCCTTGCCGTGAAGGCTCCGCCAGGTGCACAGCACGCATGCGCTGGATGGGCTACCAGCCCTGTCTCCACCCAGAAAGAAAAACACATGGACACTGATCCTTTGAACTGACCCTAAACTGGGAGATCTTTGGAGAATTATGAGCAGAGCAGAGGGAAGCTATTGACAGTACCACCTCTGGGGGAGCTACGTGCCGGCAGGCCCTGGCATAGGGCCCTTCCCAGAGCAGAAAGTTGGGCCCTCGCCAGGCGCCGTGGTTCATGCCTGTAATCTTAGCACTCTGGGAGGCCGAAGTGGGTGGATTGTTTAAGCTCAGAAGTTCAAAACCAGCCTGAGCAAGAGCGAGACCCCATCTCTACTAACAAAAATAGGAAGAAATTAATTGGCCAACTAAAAATATATAGAAAAAATAAAATTAGCTAGGCATGGTGGCGCATGCCTGTAGTCCCAGCTACTCGGGAGGCTGAGCCAGGAGGATCACTTGAGCCCAGGAGTGTGAAGCTGCTGTGAGCTAGGCTGATGCCACGGCACTCTAGCCTGGGAAAGAGTGAGACTCAGTCTCAGGGAAAAAAAGTTGAGCCCTGATGCAAGATCAAGTTTCTCTCTTCACACGTTTGTAATGTAGCTAAACATTTTTTATTTTATTAATAATCCAAGTTATGCATAAACAGTATTATAATCTTATAAATATGCAAACTTTAGAATTTTTTTTTTCTCCAAATCAACCTGATAGTTCTCTGTGACCGGGGCATGCCCAGGTGCTTCTGGAGCGCAGAGGTGAGGGCGTGTGCTGCCCACCTGGGGTCTCGGAGTCTCCCAGGGCTACAGAACTGGCTGCCAACTGCACCCTCCTGGGCGCTCCCTCCAAAGCTCACCCCTTCTGGTCCTACCCTCGAATAGACAGAAAAAAGAGGCCCCTTTCCCTCTGAATTTCCTTTCAATGCCACACATCTCATCTTCTGTACATGTGACACCCTTAAATTTTACATTAAGTGACCTCTTAAGCAATTATCCCAGAGAAATGAAAACCAGTGTTCATGCAAAAATGTGCACAAGAATGTTCACAACAGCCCCAAACTAGAGACAGTCCTTTTCACCGGGGGCGTGGCCACACAAACTGACCCACCCACACCCACCACACCACAGCAGAAAGCAATGAACTGGATACACAGGATCATTTGGACAGATCTGAAGGGTACGAGGCTGTGGGGAAGCAGCAGCCTCTGAAGGCTCAGTACTTGCTGCACGGTCCTGCTTATGTAAGACTCCTGCAGTGACAGAGCCGAGGCACGTGGGCAGAAAAGGACGTGCCTGGGGAGATTTCTGGGGTGAGCCTTCCACTCCTGGACTGTGGGGTGCTCGCACGAAGTGCTCCGACCGCACAGGGCCGCACAGGCACAGCCCCCACATCAGGCCGCTGGGACCTGGGCTGGGCTGTGTGCCCTGCAGGGATGCCAGCCCTGGGGGAGCAGAGGAAGGACACCAGGATGTCCTGGACACTTCTTGGCAACTTTCTGTGGATCTGTAATTATTTCATAGTAAAAAGTTGAAAGAAAAACTAAGTGATCATAGCTTATTTTCCCCAAAAGGACTAATTTCCCCAGAACAGCACTGAGGTGTCACTCTCAACACAGCCCCTCAGGCCAGAAGCCATCTGTCACACCTGCATAACAGACCCTTTGGCTACCTTTAGGCAATGAAAGTAAGAGCTTACCACCAAAACACAAGACTATCTCAACATACTCTTACCTCTAGTGAGTATTCAAGCTGTTTGTCTTAGCTAAAAATTTAAATTGTACACAGGCTTTTTTGTTTTTAACCAAATCACTTTTTTAAGTCACTGGCTTAAAATTGCTAAGCATATTGAAAATTAACATATGACTATGTCAAACCATAAAAACAGACCCTGAGTTGGGGAATAAAATTTAAGTTCCAAGGATTCCTCTGTGGCAAGCCCCTTTGCCTCTTTGGTTTTCTGCATCTCTTTGCAACCATGTCTAAAATTCTGACTCTGCATGTCAACAGATTTAATTTAGTATACTCAAACTCAATCCATCGAATAACATGAATTCAGCCCCAGTTTACAAACAGAGCACCCCTGGTGGCCTCTCCCATGGCTTCTTTTGACTCCAGAAGACCAGCAGCAAGACCCCTGGCAATATGGGTGGGTGTACAGGACTGAGTACAGCCAACAGGAGGAGGGTGGGGGCAAACCACAAAAGGGCGAGAATAAGAATAGGGCTGGCTGGAGAGACCCACAGCTCACTCCTGGAAGCAGCTCAAGAAGTTACACTGAGCACCTAACACCCTACCGAAGGGTCCTTGGAAATCCCAGACTCATGAGTCCACAAGTGGGTAAACCCCTGGAGACTGCGAACCTTTCTGAAGGCCAGGCACGGGTTTTAGAAGCCTCTTGTAGGGGACCTTAAACAGATGAGTTCAGTGCTTGGTGCCTGGTGGTGTCGGCAGCCTGAGGGCAGCAGTCGGAACTGCACATTTGCTGGTAAACTCCCCCTATGTTACCAATACTCAGAGCCCCACAGTCAAATTCACCTTCCCTCCCTCTCCACTGCACCCCACCTCTCCCTGGGACGTGGGAATCTTGTGCACAGGGTGACTGTTCCTATCGTGTCCCAAATCCACTCTTCAGCAGGACAAGACACCCTGCTCTACTGTTAGCCTTGTTTCATCACCCTCAATGTAAACATTCTTTCAAGATTTAAAATAAATACGTTGAGGCAACATATATATGGTGTATTCTGACAATGGACTACAACTCAGCAACAAAAAGCTCTAATGCTTTATGCAGCAACACAGGTGAATCTCAAAACATTATACAAAAAAAGAAGACACAAAAAAATAGGTACCTCAGGACCCTATGTACCTGAATGTCTACGACAGGCGACGGTAACCAACGTCCTAAGCACGGAAAGGGCACCACCTCAGAGTGGGAGATGTGACAAGGGGCAAGAGAGAACTCTCCAGAACAGTGGAAGGGAACACCATCCACACAGGTGCCTATGTCACATGAGTCCGTGCATTTGTCACGAGTCACTGAACCATACAATTAATGCCTGCTCATGGCAGTGTATTAAATTATACCTTGATTATAAAGAAAAATAAAATGCTGGCAGATTTATCACTATAAAAAGCAGTAAAGTTCACAGGCAGTCGTTACAGTGTACAACCCTGAAGTACTATCACCCAGAACCTGTGTTGGAGAGCAAAGGGACAAGGCTAGGCTCAGAAGGTGGCCTGTGAGGGCCACCTCACTCAGGTATTTGTGTTTGCGACAAAGCCGGCAGGGCATGGTCTCATTGGCCCTAAGAGTCGTCGCCCAGAACAGAGGTGAGAACAGACCCTCCTGGGCTGGGCACACCTGTGCCCATCTGTGCAACTTTGGCCTAAGGCTACTGGATCCTTTCTGATATAATGCACAAAAAAAAAAAAAAGGCCCTAAGTATCCGAGGAGCAGAGCCTGGCCCCCGCTAAGTTGTGATGTGAGGGAGGCCTTTCCATACATCCAGGTAAAGGCCTAAAATCCCACCAGCTCCTCAGGGCTTCAGTGGTACAGCAAGGCTCAGGGTTTACCCTTCAGTCCATTCAGCACTGCCCGGTGGCCTCTGGACCAAACACTGGCCAAAGAGAAATATGAAGAGACCCAGACAGATTGAGGACCTCTGCTATGTCCCACATGGGGGCAGATGGAGTGGCGGGACTGGCTGGCAGAAGGTGAGGGAGCAGAGGCCAGCAGTGGCAGGCAGAGCACTGAGATGCTCACCTAGAGCCACGGCCCAGGGACCCCTGTCCATCGGGCCCCATCACTTACTGCAGCCCATCTCCGGGGCCCAGCAGTCCCATGAGGCCACTGGAAATGCAGCTTCCCAGGCCCTGTTCAGTGGGGCTGGGATGGCCGGGGACAGGCCTGCAGCCACTGCCAAGCACTCTAGAGTCCTAGGTTTTTAAGGTAAATCTACATTAACAATGTTAATTTCTAGCACCCAATCAGACTGGCTTTGAAATGCTTTATCAAAGGCAAACAGGGAAAGAGCCCAGTATGGCCCAAGTGCCCAGGCCCGCTGCTGCAGAGTGATGGGCAGCACA